GAACAGGGGGAGCAGGGGGAGGTGAAAGGCTCAGTAAACACCTAAGTCAGAATAAAGAAGGGGACTTTGTTAATATTATTGTCAATGGTTATTGTTCTAACCCCTTTAACTCCCCTCTTAAGGAGTCTCCCCGAAGGGGAGGGGAGACAAAGGAGGTGAAAGGGGGGAGACTCCTTGAGGGAGTAAAAGGAGGTGAAAGGGGGGAGGGGAGACTCCTTCCCTCCCCCTTTCATCTCCTTTTACTCCCCCAAGGGGAGGAAAAAGTAGGAGTCTCCCTCCTGGGGAGGTGGAAACAGGAGATGGGAGGAGAATATGAACCTCCGCCCGCCCGTGGGGGGGGGGGGGCCCCCCCCCCCCCCCCCCCCTTGCTGAACCCCCTCTTACCCTCCTCTTCTCCTCCTCCAGATCTCTCCTGAGGTGCTGTGCCGTGAAGGAATCAGAGTTCATCGTACGGTCCAGCGCAGCGGTCAGTTTGTGGTCTGCTTCCCCGGTGCCTTTGTCTCTAAGGTGTGCTGTGGCTACAGCGTGTCAGAGACTGTGCACTTTGCCACACCACACTGGATGAACCTTGGTTACCAGGCTGCAAAGGTCAGTGGAAGGTTAAAAAAAAAACAACCTAAGTTTTGTTTGAGGAAATGATTGTTGCCATAACAACTGCTTCTTAAAGGTTAAAGGAAGTTCTCACCTTAAGTTCTTCCTGGTTTTGTGTCAGGACCTCAAATGTCGTCGTATAGCCAAACCCTTCTCCATGGAGAAGCTACTGTACCAGATCGCCACAGCAGAGTCCAAGCGGGACAACGGCCTTCTCCTCACCACCATCTCCGCCCTCCTCAAAGATCTCAGGTGGGGAGGCTGGAGGAGAGCAAACAGACCATTCACTGGTTTCCTCAACACACCACTGACCTTTGATTGTCCTTCACTTCAACAGGAACATAGAGCTGCACCAACGGCAGGAACTTTACAAGGCCGGTTTGCTTTCGTCCGCTCGCTACGGCGTGCACGACAGCAGCTTGGGGCCCGGGGAGGGACGCAAGAAGCCCCGTGGGAAATGGCTAGCACTGGAATCCTCAGAGAGGCGCTGTCAGATCTGTCAGCATCTCTGCTACCTGTCCATGGTGAGGGCAGTGGGTCAACTGTTCAGCTGCAGTAACAAGAGCCTCCTCTGAGCTGTTTAAAGACTTTGTGTTTTGTCAGAATAAAGACTGTGACGTTGCTTTTCAAAGTCTTTACCCTGTGCATCACTTCTGCAAATATAACCACCACCAGTGTAACAACATCCAAATACAGCAGCTCACAACTACAGTGTTAGGCTGAGCCCAGTTACACTGGGAAGATAATTAGTTCCATATTAATGATTAGACACTTTATCAGCCAAAAGTACACAGTACTACTTCTACTACTACTACTACCACTACCACTACCACCACTACTACTACTATTGGCAAGTCTATAAAAACTGTATGTAACCACAAAGTGACTGAATTTAAAGGAAAATCACTTTCATCCATGTACCACTAGAGAGAGCCAAAGTACTCTGGTGATCCACTAAATTATATATGCATATGATTAAGAGTTACTGATAAAGAGCCAAAGTTAACCACATATAAAGTGGTCTAGTGTCAGGACTAGCTAATTATATATCTTAAAGATATATAAGGATATAGACAATATAGAATATAGGAGGAAAATAAAAAGCTTAAGCACAAAACTTACTAATAGCATTTGATCTCTTTTTTCTCAGGTTGATCCACAAGTCTCTGAAAACACATTTACAGAGGAAGAAAGTGTGATTTTAGTAAAGCAGTACCACTGTGTGGTAATCAATGAAGTATTAGTATTGTCAGTAAGTACATACCTGTATTTGTTGCGTGTGCAGGTGGTTCAGGAGACGGAGAACGTGGTCTTCTGTCTGGAGTGTGCTCTGCGGTATGTGGAGAAACACAAGTCCTGCAGAGGCCTGAAGATGATGTACCGATATGATGAGGTGAGTAGTTCTCCCTGTGTCCACGAGGGGGCAGAAAAGACAGGGTTTACAGAAGACCAGAAGAGCAGAGCTGGAACTTCTGTGACTAAACGTTGTAAATGATTGTCTCACCTCAGGAACAAATCAACCATTTGGTGACCCAGGTGTGTGGTCGAGCCATGTTGAAGAACAGCAGTGTCAACCTGGGAGGAGGTGAAAGAGTCGTCGTCAGTGGAGGACTAGAAAGAGGAGTAGAACCGTGTCTCGGTTTAAACCCCGCCAAAGCATCGCCGGCCAAGCGTGGCCCACGGAAGCGGGCCCCTGTGGAGGTGTCCCTGGCTCGCCTGTCCTCCGCCCACATGCCCAAGGCTGCGGCCGTATCCTGAGGCGGGCAGACGACCTGACGTGACACACCCACTCTGTGTGTGTCCTCTAACACACACACACACACCTCCCTCCACTCCCTTGTTTCCTTATTTTGACTTAAAGCAGGATCACATCCAACCCCTCCACTGTCGCTCAATGTTTAAGATTGTTTTTTTTGTTTGTTTTTTTTAAATATGGTCATGTGACCTCTGCCCCCACCTCTAAAATAAATTCAGCTGCCCCCTAGAACGACAAGCTTGTTTATATGAAACGGGAAGGAAAGAGAAAAACAAGTTGTCTTTTTTGCACTAGAGTGAAAGAAGAATTAGTTTTTATTCTGGATGATTTAGAGCACCCCCTGCCATCCATCTGTCATATGGTCGTCCTCAAAAACTTCATTAGCATTAAGTGTCACGTTCCCACCACGACTAGACAACACCCCTTTTTGTAGCCATTACCTCATCCCTCCCATTTGAAGAAAAAGGGGTAAAGTTGTTTTTGTTGTTTTGTTTTTTTTCTCCACGTGTTTCTCTCTGAGACTGAACCTGCTTGAAAAAATCAAAACAGTGAACGTGGGACGAGTGAAAAGGTGGCCTTTATTTCTCCTTCTCCCTCCCCCCGTCTGAAAGGATATATATATATAACGTACAGTAGTCGCCCAAAGTTTCTCTGTCCTTGGTTTGAAGGAAGAGCAGTTGATTTTTTTTTATGATTAAATGTTTTGATTTTAGATGTTCTCGATGCAGCTCCTGCTTTTTTTATTTTTAAAGAAACGGGGGTTTTCGATGACGCGAGGTAAAAACTTGAAAAGACACACGATGTTGGTTGGCGATGTATATTCACCGTCTGATTGAGTTTTTAGATTTGCTTTTTCTAGTTTTTTTCTGTGTACCTTTTTTTGTTGTTGTTGTTGTCAGTGTGGACGTTTCTCTTCGTCGGTGGACGTGAGATGAGGCAGAGCTGCAGCTGCTGGACCCACCACGGGTCATTGCTCGCTTCCTGGTCGTATGGAGGCGCCCCCTCCTTTGCTAGCAAGTGAAAACTGTGCCTGAATCGTAGCAGGGAGGTCCATATTTTATTCTTGGTGCTGATGGATTACTGTAAAACACAAATGTAAAAATCTGGGGTTAGTGTCCACTGCCCCCCCTCCACTCCACAGGGCAGAAGAGCTCCCAGGCTTTTCTGGTTCTAGATGTGCAATCGTGTTAACATTCCATTCTTCCAGTCCTCTTGTTTCACCTGCACCAGTCAACATTAATTATTATGTTATTATTGATTTTTTTTTTTACTTTTGTTGATCTGATGTGTTATCTCAAGTAGAGCCACTAGTCTGAGTGTAAAATGTGAAATATCAAATACAAGTTTGGTGTTTGTTTTTTTTTCCTTTACTTTACTTGTTAATTGCGTTTTGGGCTTTTTGAGTTTGTTCCAATTTTTCAGGTTTATTGTGAGGAAAAAAAGTCCAACAAAACCAGAACATCAACCTTTTTTTTTATGTACATAAAAACTGTAAATTACTTTAAATACTTGAGCCTTTTTCTGGGGTAGACAAGGAAAGAAAGAAAGAAAGCAAGGAAGGAAGGAAGGAAGGATGGATGGAATCAAGAGACAAAGTTCCAGAAGAGTGCGCTTGATGAAGAAAAAGCCTTACATTTTTCCCTTTCTTCATTCGTGTGAGTTTGATGCTTACAGGGTTGCTCTGGTAAACGTGTATAATATTTTTAAGTGCTGCTTATATCACTAAGAAAGAAGAAATTGAGTAGCCAATGACTCCCCACCTCCCCCAAAAAACCCACCCACCCAAACCTAGTTTTGTTTGTTTAGCTTTACTTTTTTAAAGAAAAGGGAAAAAGATATGTTCACTAAAAAAAAAAAATAAAAAAAAAATTAAAAAATGGGTTTTTACATTTTCATTACTGAAAATTCAACAACGATGTAGTAGCTACTCATGTTGCACTGAGCTTGCCAGTGGAGACTGTCAAGAAAAATGCTATAATCCAGTTTGTTGGTTGTCGTCCCTCACAGAAGACTGAACTGTTCTAGGACTATTTAAAGAAATACCACATCGGGTGTTTTCAACAATAGAAAAAAAAGTGGTTGTCAAGTTTTTATGGCCTTAAAATATGTTTTATTCTGACAAGATTTTGTTTATCGGTTCTTGTATTGAGTTTTTTCTTTCTTCCATTTTTCTACAGTATAAAATACTTGCTCATGGTGGGGTCTCTGGTGACTTAATTTATTAGTGCCGCATCTCGGCCTTTCCCTCCACTTGGAAAGAGAGTCTCATGTTGGTTATATTGACAAGTTTTTTACTTTTGCAGTTTGTACTTAAGGTTTAATAAAAACTTACCAACAATTAACAGTGAGTTCTTTCTTACCTGTTTTTGTTTGTCTTGGTGTATCGACTTCAGTAACTTATTATTTTGATAGTTTCACAGGGACTGCTGGCAGCACTGATACTTGACCCCTGTGCCATCGGGCTGACCTGCAACACATGGCATTTATGTATATAAATAAAATGTTTTTTATATATATAACATTTTGTCTTTTTTTATGGTTTTTTTTTGTGCAATTTTCTAAATTAAGAAGTTACAAAAGAATCCTCAACATTTAAGTTTATGCACCCAAATGCGCACCAACGTTATTCCCAACTAAATCTACCAAAAAGTTCAACTTTCTCATAAATTGACCAAGAAAGTATAATATACTATGACAAGATTTGGCCATGTAAATAATTCGAATGAAAGTTAAAAAGCCACATCCTTACGTGTAAAAAGTTGACCAAAAATAGCCTATATTTCAATATATTTAATAATATTTAAAATTCCAAAAAGGCTCCAATTGCAATAAAATGCCCCAGAACATGCTCATATGTCAATACTTGGGGTCAGAAATTAATATTAATCAAAAATTACATTCTCATGTGTCAAAACTGACACAAAAAGTCTTACTATGCTACATGATGGCTTTTGATAAAATGCAAAAAAGTTCCTAAAATGCTTCCAAATGCAATAAAAGGCCCCAAAATGTGATCATATGTAAATATGGTGTCAGAAATTAATTTTGAAAAAAATCTAATTTTTGCATGTGAAAACTGACTCAAAAAGCCTTACTGCGATACAGCATGGCTTTTACCAAAACATAAATAAAAACACTAAAAATTCCTAAAATGCCTCCAAATGCAATAAAATGCCCCAAACCATGCTCATGTAATTTTTTTTGTTAAAAATTAATAGAAAAATAGAATAGAAAAATCTGATTCAAAACTGATTAAAAAAGCCTTACTTTATTACAGCATGGCTTTTGACAAAATGCTTATAAAAATTAAAAATTCTAAAAAAGGCTCCAGTTGAAATAAAATGCCCCAAAACATGTCAGAAATGAATATAAAAACAAATAAAACTTTGATGTGTCAAAACTGACTCAAAAAGCTTAACTAATGCCTCTAACTGCAAAAAGAAAATACCCCAAAACATGCTCATATGTAAAGAATTTGTGCTAGAAACTAAATTTTGAAAATCATATTCTGACGTGTCAAATGTTGGCACAAAATGCCTTACCACTGTATGACCTATACAAACAACTATGCAATAAGTTAGCCCAAATCATGCTCATAGATGTTCAAAAATTGTTAGAAATAAATTTAGAAATTTAGAATGACATTTTGACATGTCAAAACTTGAGTTGTGCCTTACCCCACAGTGTGACTTTTGCCATAAACATAGAGGAAAATTGTGCTCCCATGTAAAGAATTTGTCTTAGCAAATAAAAAATATACCAAACTATAATTTGACCAAAAAACCTCCTATACTATGATCTTTATAAGTTCCAAAAATAACTCAAAAAGCAGGTTCTTGCTCTTAATTTTAAATTCAGGCGTATATTGCTTTTCAAAAAGTTTTCTGTGGCAGTAACTGATGTGAAAAAAAATTATATATAATTTAGTATTAAGTACATTCTGTAGTCTGTATTAATTATTAAGTACTTAATTGAGTCATACACTAGACACATATTTACCATTCACAGTGACCTGACACATCCACTCTCTAAATATACAGTAACACTCCAACATTTTTCAATATATTACTTACCTCATCCAAGGGTGAGAGCTCAGACAGGACTGTGATTCAGAGGAGGAACATTACCAGGCTCAAACCCTAGAACCCTGCTTACATTTTGGTCGCTCAGTGATGTTTGAGTTGGAAGAAATCAAAAATATTTTATATTTGGGGGGTTTCAAAACCTTTCAAAACCTAATATACTATGAAAAGATTTGGCCATGTAAATAATTCCTCCTACGAATGAAAGTTAAAAAGCCACATCCTTACGTGTAAAAAGTTGACCAAAAATAGCCTATATTTCAATATATTTAATAATATTTAAAATTCCAAAAAGGCTCCAATTGCAATAAAATGCCCCAGAACATGCTCATATGTCAATACTTGGGGTCAGAAATTAATATTAATCAAAGATTACATTCTCATGTGTCAAAACTGACACAAAAAGCCTTACTATGCTACAATATGGTTTTTGCCAAAGAATGCAAAACTATTTAAAAATCCTAGAATATCTCCAATTGCAATAAAATACCCCATAATATACTCATATGTAAAAAAAAGTGCTATAAAAGAAACTCAGAAAATCACACTGACATGTCAAATGTTGACACAATATGCACAGTATGCCTTTAGCCAAAAAATGCAAAAAAATTCCATAAATGCCTCTAATTGCAATAAGTTACCCCAAATCATGCTCATAGATTAAAAAAGTGCTAGAAATTAATTAGGAAATTTAGTAAATCACATTTTGACATATCAACAATTGACTTATGCCTTAGCCCACTGTATTTTGTCAAAAAAATTAAAATTGTGCTCCCATGTAAATAATTTGTCCTAGCAAATAAAAATATATACCAAACAGGTATACATTGAAAAAATAACCTCCTATACTATAATCTTTATATGTATAAGTTAAAAAAATAACTCAAAATGCAAGTTCTTGCTCCTAATTGTGAACGCAGGTGTATATTAAGTATTATATAAGTTTTCTTTTAGATTTCTAACAAAAAATATTATAGAACAGTCTTTACTGTCATTTTACCACGGGGTACAACAAAATTGAGGGTTCTCCCACCTAGCCACTATGCACCACAACAGAAGTTTATATATATATATATATATGATATAATATATAAAGAAAAACAACCTCGTAATGTAAACTGTAAACACACTGTAAAAAGATACCAGGAGGTAGTACATGTATACAGTAAAACGCAGTAGCAGCATTCAGTAAAAATAGTCAATAAAATACAAGTAAAGTTACAAAATTACAAATGGCTAAATGGCACAGCAAACTTCAAATAAAGACATTATCCACGAATGTTAACGGTTGATAATTACCTTTACTTTCCCGTTCATTTCTCAACAGCTCCACTTCCCGCCTTCTTCCTCCTCCCCCCGCCCCGCCCCCCGCGATAGCCTAATTAATATCACTTGTGTCCTTTTACTCCTGTCTCCAGCGTAAAGCTGCCTTCAACGTCATTCCCTGGGTCCTATTTATTTTACCAATACACCAAAAGAGTCCACAGTCATTACGTACAAACACTGAAATGTCATAATTTTAATACAAACTACCAATATTTTGCAGACATGTAGTGAAACGAGTCGTTCTATCCTTGATAACCCGTGTAGCCGTAATGACGCCATTACCAAAGCGACAAACCAACAAAACACAAATTTGACATAATACTGTCTGCTGACAAGCAACAATAGCATCATAATATTACAATATGATAAAAAGACAAAATAAATATCATTTTACTCACCCAAACCTCTTATTAGTTCAACACGAAATTCGTCTTCTTTCCTTTAGAAGAGTTCAGAGTTGCCTCGTTAACACAGGAAGTTGAGTCTGTCCTGTCGTAAGTAAGTAGTTTTAATTCACTTTTGGCAAAAAATATCCGCTCGACAGAAGAGGAAAGTGGCTAAACGCAGTTACCTAGATTCGAGGAAGTGCGTTTTTTGACCATCCAATCAAATCACTCTACGTAACTGCACGAGAGTGACGACAAACCTCGTCACTATTCATTGTAGGCTCCCACAATCCACAGATGTCGAACAGAATACTTTGTATCACCTTATGAATAATAACGATAAAGATATTGAAAAAAGTCACTGATTCTGACAGTAGCCTGATATATATATATATATATATATAGATATACATATAAGAAGCACAGTCTGTTGTCTGCATAATTAGTATTAAGTACATTCTGTAGTCTGTATTAATTATTAAGTACTTAATTGAGTCATACACTAGACACATATTTACCATTCACAGTGACCTGACACATCCACTCTCTAAATATACAGTAACACTCCAACATTTTTCAATATATTACTTACCTCATCCAAGGGTGAGAGCTCAGACAGGACTGTGATTCAGAGGAGGAACATTACCAGGCTCAAACCCTAGAACCCTGCTTACATTTTGGTCTTGAACTTGTCTCAGAAAAGCTTAGATGAACATTGGACAACATTTATTACCAGCAGGAGGAAGGGGGGGGGGATACATAATAAGGAATGATGTCACACTGCACAATATTCAAAACTGTTTTATACAAAAGGAAAGATTGGGATATGGTTGAACTTTCTAAATTTTATTCGGTGCATAGCACAGAGTCCAAACATTGATTTGGTCCCACTTGCATGTGTGTGTTTCAGGTAAATTTATACTACTCTGGCACATGTACGATATTTCACATTTGTAGTATCATGTGGTGTCAAATCCACTGTCAAGAGACTACAATACACATGACAACTATGAAGCTCCAGTGTTGCCAGATGGAAAACTCTCATTTTAAAACTGTTGTATTTTCCACCCTGGTGGTTAATTTCGCTCAGTGATGTTTGAGTTGGTTTATATTTGGGGGGTTTCAAAACCTTTTCTAGTATACTATGCAGCCCATGAAACTATGGTATAAGTGCAACTGTTATCGTGCTTGGCCCTCCTGTACAGTATCAATATACTGCGGGCCTCTAGTGGCTGACATTGGTAGTGCAGATATGGAGAACGTGAGCCAAACATCTCCGTCAGCTTTAGGGACAAATTTGGTTGAAGTTTGTGGCCATTGGGGATTTTATTAAATATTAATGCCACGGTTGTTGTGTACATGTCAAATAATGAAGAATATTATAAGCTTTGGGGGTTCAGCCATCAATAAAGTTATCACACAAAACAAAAAACAATCATCACTTGTCAAGTCCTTGTGCTAATTGTTCAATGTTTGCTGTTCTTGAGATCACTTCATCCAAAATGGTTTCTTCTTCTTTCTTCTATTTTCTTTATTTGCTTCAGCAACTACTTTTGTTGCTGAAAAAAAGAAGTTACACTGAACAGTTATGACAGCACTGGACCATGTTATCTAAGCTGGTGATGGTTCCTCTCTCTCTCTCTCTGTGTGTGGGTTACTGTACGATGTAGCTGTCAAAAACAGTTTTCTTTGTATGTATTTACACAGAATAATTCACTACAAATAAATAGGAAACACATGAAAGAAAACACATGATCAAATATTGGGTACTGTGGATAGCACTGGCTAAAAGCTTGACAGGATCATAGACTGTAGATAAGAAAAGGACACCGGCATAGGATTTAAAAATACTGTCCTGTGTGGATGTCACACCATAATAAACTCTGATTTAACTGTGTTCCTTCCTCTGTGAAGTGTTACCAATCAATACTTAAACCTACATTGAAAAAATAAATAATGACAGAGATGAGCAGGACCTGCACAACTCCACCAGATGGCAGCTCTAGGTCAAAAAGTGAACACAAAGCTTTGATTATTATTATCAGTTGACCAATATATTTTAGACCAAGTTTACACTGTAATTGTCAATAATGTCTCATTGTGAAGTCTACTTCAATTGAAAATTATAATAATTTTGAACTACATTTTTTCTGACATCTTTATATAAAAAGAAATAGAGAATTGGGATACACAAAATTCATCTTAAATAGTTGTCAGCGGTTGTCAAACTATGGTGTGTCTACCACTGGTGGTACAGGGCATCCTCTAGTGGTTGTAGAGGGAATTTGGTTCCCTTCAGGAACAGGTCAATTTGTTGATAATGACAGTTACTTTGTATTCTCAGTTACTTAGTTGTAAGTAACAACTGTACAGTCTGTGGGATTTAGCAACATCTAGTGGCATGTAATTAATTTAATGGAATTTAATTAAGGTCTTTAACATATTCTGATTGTGCAACATTTTTAACAGGATTTGACTCAAATGTTCTGTTCTCCTGGCAGTAAGAACACCTTCGCTGTACTTTCTTTCATGTGTTACACTTCACTACGACAGCTTGTATACTGTAGTTGTAAAAATTAGCCAGTGTTGTTCCTGCTCTGATTTGGCAGCTCTGTGTACTCACGTCATAATCCATACATTCTCTCCTCACTTCTTCATCTTACTCCCCTTACAGTCTTTGCTGCTCTGCCCCTCTTGGTCCTCTCTGTCTACCAACACTGGGTCAGGCTGCACCTCCTCCTCATCCTGGGTCACGACCACAGGTGGCCTTCTTCTCATTCCTTCTACTGATCCTCCATCACCTCTTCCTCCTCGTCCTCTTCCAGCTTGCTCAGTCTCCTCCTCCTCATCCTCTTCCTCCTCCTCCCCAGCCTCTGTGTCCTGGCTGGCTGAGTCAGTGCAGGTGGAGGAGAGTGAAGACAGCTTGTGGCGTAACTCTGCCTGGGTAGGAACCTGGAGACTGATCTCTGTGGTGAACGACTCGACATCAGGAGCTGAGAAAGTAAAGGTATATGTAGGGAATGTGTTCAGCTATCTGAATAAAACAGCCAAACTTCACCTTGATCAAAACATTTTTAAAGAAGCACAAGCTGTCAGCTGTTTAATGCAAACTATTCCTCATAGCTGTGGACAGATGGTACATGTGCTTCACGTTTAGGCGTTCTGCTCATCAATCTTCATGTTACTTTTTTTTATCATATTTATTTCTCTAATGAGAAGTAACCATGTATATCCATTAACTATACCAGTCACAGGTGACGCAACGCTGTTGTCCTCTCCTCCAGAGTGAAGAAACACATCCAGGGCCTCGTGGTCAGACATGTCCATCAGGTCCATCTGCTCCAGCATGTCCACGTTTACCTCCATGGATGACATGCTTCCTGTTGGCTCTGAAAAGACCAGACACACAATTCATCAACATCTATATCAACTATTTCTTCACAGCATGATTTATAAGGAAGTAGCAAATGGATATACGGAAGATGGGCAACATTTGAAGCATCTTGTAAACATGAAACATTATTGTTAGCAGTAACACGAATGATGGGTTTGCAAATGTCATTGTGTTTAGGGAGCTGTGTATGAAGGCGACAAGCAATGCTGACGATGTCATTAGGGATATTTGTTCAGTAAAAGTAATTTCTAGCACTAGCAGGTCCATGTCTTCAACATGCAGTAAAATCTGATATATTTGATGGTGCTAGTTTAAGGTGGCTATATACATTTCCCAACAAACTGCTTTTTAAAGTGTATTTCTTTTTATTATATTAAGTATTAATTGCAGACTAGGGAACCAGGAGCTCATTTTTGACAACATTAAACTCTAGCAGAAATGATGTGTGTGTGTGTGTGTCTTTATATTGTTTCACCTAATCACCTAATGCTTAAAATACCTTCTCTTAGCCAGCATGTGTTTGTAGAGGCTTCAACTGCAGGTCAGACATGACTATTAATCTTGATTAATCCTGATTAGCTTAAGGCTACCCTTTGATTCATCAGATTAAATGTATTGATTACATTGGTCCTAATTATAATATTTATTGGAACATTATCAGTGATGTCTTTAATTTACTCTTATTAGCATGAGGTTTTAGACAGGTCACAGAATAATAAAGTAAGAGTGATCGGTCACATCTAAAACATTTCTATTTTTAATACCTGATTATACTGATCATATCTTATTTAGGTTCAGAAATTCAGGAGTGTGTGGTGGGGTGAGCGTAGATGTAAAAACACAAGAGGAAAAAGAGAGATAATCGTCCAGCACATTTAGCATTGAGGAAAGCTGTCATTGGCTACTGTACCTCAAGGAAATGAGGAGAGCAGAGGAGGGCAGCACAGTGGAGGGAAGGGGAAGAGAGAGGGGAGGGAGGGGGAAGAGAGAGGGGAGGGAGGGGGAGAGAGAGGGGAGGGAGGGAGAGAGAGAGAAAAAGAAAGAGAAGGATGATATTACTTCCCCCGGACATTGTTCAATGTCCTTAAAATAGAAACAAACAGCATCACTGTGTAATAATAAGAAAACACTCCAACTGAAGATAGTGTTACACTTTTCAGATGCCTCTAGTTTTCATCTCACTGGCCTTAAATACATTAACAGGAAATTCTGGGCTTTATTTCTGTGTAAATATTAGCTATAGCAATACTACGTCTAATTTTGATTCAGGTTTTACTTATTTCAGAATAAATGTCAGTGCTCACTAATTACTTTCTTGTTTTATAGACTGTGAAAATAAAGCCCCAGAAAGCAAGTGGATTTCCTGAAACATCACTGCATTTCCTTGTAGTTCCAGGGTTTAACAATGTATCCTGACAGTTGTGTCCATTCTCTATAAACTGTCACAGAATCAGGAAACCACAGAAGACAAGACCTCAATTCATATCTTAGCCCAAAGAGGAGCAATTTCTTTCCTGCACATGAACAAAAATAAATGCACATGCCCTGTGAACAAATCCATACATGTATGTATGATTGACGGCCTTTGTTCAGAGTGCATCATAAATGCACTGAGAGCATTGTTTCCACGTCGCTGCCTCCACCATGTTCTTCTTTAGGCCACACGCTGGCCTTTCACAAAAGGTTTTCCTGCTGGGAGTAGACTGTCTTTTGTCCCCAGAGAGTGTATTATATGTATACAGCATTAGTCTATACGACCCCTGCCTATGGCTGTTGATTGTGTACGACTTCCACAGTCCCTGTTCTCTTCCTCTGGGCTCTCTCCATTTCTTTAATCCTCTCTTCCTCAAAGTCCCCAGCTGTACATTTTGCATTCTGCTGCAGAGACGGAGGGATAATGAGTCACTATGTGCTGTGATATTCAGCGGTAATTCACGCTTATTTTCAGATGTGTTTCGCCACAATGATAATGTGAGCATTCTCTGTAAATAATTACACGCTCTGGTGTAGCAATTATAACTGCTTATTCCCATGCATCTGTTACGGTTTCTCTCTCTTTTTTTTCCCTAACAGCTCACATTTGGCTTCATAATGTGAATCACATCGTCTGACGTGTTGGGCTGAAAGTAAACACCTATTTTTTACTATGACTGCATGAAGTCCACACATGTTTTTCTCACTACTGTGGCGTAATGAATATTTTCGTAAGTGCATCAACTCTGATATTTAGTTTAAGAAAAAAAAACCTCAGGTCCTCTTCTCCTGCTTCTTCGTCTTTCCTCCACCCCCTCCTCCATATCCACTGCTCCACAATCCTCTTTAACAAGCCATTTCTGGAGGATTAAGGAAGGGGGACACGTGAGTGGAAGAAGGAAAATCACATCGCCAACTCTGGTTCTGTTAGAGTCCACTACATCGTCAGAGCTCATAATTTCACATGGTATGGTTATTCCAGTAAAGACATTTAGCAGTAATGCATGAGGCAAACTGCAGCAGAATTCTCCGTGCAATCCTAAGGGAGGGGAAATATATCTGTATGGAAATTCTCTGATACGGCAGCACGGCATTTTTCACAGTAACGACACAGCTTGTGTGTTTAGTGACAAGCGCTCACTGCACAGAGCCATTCCGGCTAAATCTTGTGACGTGGGTGGTTGATAGCATCTGGGGTTTGGAGTTAATTTGTTTAAATCCTGGGTGCTTTGGCATTTACCTCCAGAGTCGTTACAATAAACCTAAATACTGAAGCACACACACTTGCTTTTTGTTTCCCCTGCAAGCACAGAACTACGAGAGAACATGAACTGACACGCTGTTAAAATGACACCACACAGAATGAAGAATGCCTGAACTCCCGCACTTTTCCTACTCACCTCTCCTCTCTGCGATCTGCAGGTAGCCAGTGGACAGGTACTGCTCCATGTCTTGTTGAAAGGCTTCCTCAAACAACTTCTGTCTGTCCTTTAGCCTGACCTGAGGAGGTGGAACCGCTCCCTGTTCCGTTCCAGGCACTCTCTGAGGGTGATCCGCATCCAGCTCCACTACAAAAGAAGCCACACACAAGGTTTTCAGGGCAGATGTACAAGTAAACACATTAAATACTCTTACTAAATACGTTTTCGTTTAAAAATATAAAACTTATCTTAACAGATAACACAAAGAATATATATGTATTTATACACAAATAAAAGAGATACTGATAAAAAAAACATGACTTTATAAAATTCAAGTCTACATTCACCTCAGTACTGGGAACCCCAGATACCTGGACAATCTGCATGGGCAGCACAGACCAGGCAGAAGGATTCATGTGTGTGTCTACGCATTTGTGTTCTGTCACGACTTGAGCCTGGAGTCTGTCTCTTCAGATTTCTTATGTCCTTCTGACAGATGACAGCATTACATAAGACCAAGCATTGGCATCAACNTATATATATAAATATATAAATATAAATTGTACTGCACTGATTGTACAAACGATTTGCTTTGAAGTAATATATAAAAATAAGAGTCAACCATCTTATTGCAAGACATGTACTGAAATCCACAGCATAATTAAAGGCTGGTAAATTACTTGCATATAGTCAGCTGTTAACATAATGGGCCCTTTTAGCCCACTTAGACAAGTAAGTCACATAAGTGCTGCCTGGCCCTACGCCAACTCAAAGTCCCGTTAAGGTTTTGCTAACCCTGGCAACATTGAAGTGTCGTTTGCCTGGCTGGTCATTAAGTTTAAGTGTCTTTTTACAAATGTGCTGTTTCTGTGGAACAATGTAATCAGCTGTTTTCAGGGGTCGACTTTCTGCCAGAATGCCTTGGGCAGTTGCCTTTGACTTTGGCCATGCAACATTCATGTTATGTGTTTTTCTTCTGAATGTTATTGATCTATTTTTCGCCCAGCAAATCTCACAACAATAAGTACAATCAGCAGCGAGACGGAGCAAAACCAACACCGGCCTCACATGATTCTCAGCTTCCTCACTGCACTCCAGGGCACTTTCCAAAGTCAATATCCAATATCCATCTAAAAATCGAAATACCCCACTACCTCGGGGGTGTAGACTCCACTGTGGTATCAGAGAGCAGGTGTCTGCACACAGACCAGAGCCCTGATAAAATAGACTGGGCCCTGGAGGGGATGGGAGCCAGCTAAGAGGGAACATAGGGATCCCAGTGGAGCAACTGATGATGAACATCACACCAAAAGCCCTCGGAGACACTCACTCACCGTCTCTTACTCGTTCTCAGTCGTTCCTTACTCTGTATCTAGTTTATTTCCTTAATCTGACTTCCCCATGTCTTTCTCCATCACTTCTCATCTTCCTTTACCTCCCAACGCTGGTCTCCACACACCACACAGGCACAGACTCTTACACACTTGCTGCAAGTGTGTAAGTGTCTGTGCTGTGCTTGGTGTCTTGTTACTCACATTGCTGTATCTCCAGTACAGGGACTATTTTTTTTTAACTTATATTAGCCTGTGGAATTGACTTTGTGCTGATAAGTTACAGTAAGTGCCAATGTAAAAGTCATTAGGTACACTCTTTGTTCCTGTATGAGCTGTTCTATTTCAGTTTAATAGACATACACTACCTTGTACTATCCAGCACATGTGGAGTTCTAGAATCAAATTTACACGTGCACGGCTTTACACAAAAAGTCGTTTACACGCTTGTACAACATCGTTCGTGTGTGAGTTTACATGTGGCAATGACTCATGGGAGTCAAGGCTGTGCTGCAGTGAATCACCAAGGTGATGTCAAATGAAATAACATCAAGTATAAAAGGGCAAAGTTAAAGCACAAAATGCATGGATGATTTATTCAATTATCTTTTCCTTCAAAAACAAAGTATTTATGCTGAAAACAACATTTCTTCTTCCATGTTTAGTTTTTATTTTAAGTATATATAGATGTACTCACTCACTTTTTCCAACTCTTCTTCTTGCTCACTCTTGGCTATCTAACCCCTACAAACCCCGGAGGAAGTAAACAGTAGATAAATCAGATAAAATTATATTTTTCTTCTTGTTCATACAACAATCTGTAAAGACAGATGCAGGTGAAATGAGGCTCATAACGTTAATACACTCAACTCTGTTTTCTGCAGTAGAGAAATGTGGTGTGTGATCACATGCCGGAAGCAAAACCCACAGGAAGAGGGGTGGTACGTCAGGGTGCGTATGTGTGTGGTCGTGCATCTGGTTGTACATTTTAAACATATAACATTTAAGGTAGAAGAACCACAATATCTAAGTGTTTTATCACAAAGCTGCTAATGAGCTTCTGTCTTGACACTCATTAAAGTGCGGCCTGCATTTAGTAAGGCGTGAATTTCTGTGTGATTTTGTAAGTGTGGTGAGACTACAAGTGTAAAGCAGAACTGTGAATGCACTTTTACATTCCATTTACATGTAAATGTGTGTCTGTATAAACACATGCAGTAACTAAACCTGAGAGTAGTGTCTGCAACTGAGAAATAAAGTAAGAACACTCTGCCATCAAGGCCGATTCATATCCTCAGGGTTCTAAGCTGAAGCTCTGGATTTGGTGAAATGGAGTCAAATTGAGTCTTAGAGTCTGTTAGTCAAACATGATTGGTCAACCAATTTCCTTTGTGCAGCCACTGGTAATTTGAATTTACTTACAACAGGAGCTAATTTGACTTCATTCAAAACACGCCAGGCTCCCTTTTCAGAAGCAATGAATGAAACTCTTTCCAGACTTTAAGACAGAATTGTTAGGGTTAAAATGAAAGACGTTTTATTTAGAATATAGTAGTATACATAAAGAGTGAATAACATTAAAAATATCCTGTTATAATTATGTATTTCTAGATGTTTCTAACTGTAAGCTATGCTGACGCATGATTGGGTAGATGCATGGAAACATCATCACATTTAAATTGTATTTACTTTATGTACAGATAAAAGTATTGGTACCGTAATTGATCACAGATAAAACTTCCAATAAAAGTGCTACTTTTGTTCTTCCATAAAAGCCTCTAAAACTCATTATAACTCAATCATACACTTTACATCATAGCCACCTCCCAAACAGATCTGTTCTAAGGTCGTTTCTGTTACCGCCACCACTTCTAAAATAACTGTCCTTGTTGGTACTTTCTGAGACAGCACCGTGAACCCTGGAAGAGCAAAGGCAGTGGAACCTGTGTCTGATTCTGCCTGTTCTCCTTTTTTATCTCCAAGCCCTGCTCAGTCATTTGTGACCATTTTTAGATTATGTCTGCCTCGCTCTGTCTTTCAAGTGCCTAGGTTTCAGCTATAAGCAGCCCCCCGACTGTGCTGTAAATAGCAAACACACAATCACCGCCTTCTCGCTGTCACGTAGACACACGGATCACATTTACTGTGCCTGTTAACAGACAGATGATACAGAAAGAGTTTATGTGAGGGAGGTTAAATTTTTCACTATTTGAGAAAAATGAGTGTCATGCTCGGGGAGGAACTTCTAACCAGACACACAAAGAAATGAACCAGTTATAACCGTGACAGTACTTCATATCTGTTTTAAATACTAAATTTGATTCAGAACGTTAACTTAGAATACATTGCTTTTAAAATGTTTACAAATTATAACTTTGAAATATGCTGCGTGGTGTTTCTGATTTCAGGTCCTAAGCTTGCATTCTGTAAATAAGTGGATGATGATGTTGTACAGTTTCTGTTTCCCTCACTTTTACCTTGGCCTCAGTGCAACCACAGAGGACACCTCATCTGTCACTCATTTTGGTTTTTAATTAAAAAGTTTCACAGTAAATGAGAATCAGAAGTAAGCAGAGTGTTCAGGACAACATACACTGACAATATCACATACTGACCTTGAAATTTGCAGTATGAGGAATTTCCAGATACTAAAATTCCAGATAACTACTACAGGTAGTACTTCAACATTTATTTATTTTTTTCAATTTCTTTCAATTAGAAAAAAAAAACAGCTGGCTGATCATTGATAACACATCTCGTGGCCTACTGCACAACACTGACTTTCCAAACAGTCGGGCCTGACTGACCCCTCTTTACTAGAAAAGGCAAAGTGAAATTGAAGTGAGGAAAAAGGACACCTTGTACCAAAACAACAGCAGACTGCACCAAGGAGTTCTTAAAATCTTCCCAAAGAGCAAGTGCAGTAGCGTACAAAAGTCCATTGCAAATCCTTTTCGCCACAAGGGGGCAGGGCAGCTATAACTGACTGTCTTGTTTCACAAACATTTCAAAAGTGTAGGTATTGATAATTATTGGTGTTGATTTTTAATTGTTTATCAACAGCATTCTGATGATTTGCTTCATAAGTCCTTGCACTTAAAAAGCAACATAATACAAGGACATCAAGAGTTCCACTGATTAGAAGGTATTGTCGTCTTTGTGATATAAAACAGTGAGAACCGACGGTCAGTTTCAATTTACACAGTCAGTTCTGAAGATGAAGCCTCCTGCACTCCTTTGAGAACAGAGAAACACTCAGAAGCTCATTAATCTACACGAGTCTTCATGTCACACATCAAGGCTTCTCTCTTCTTTCGCTCCATCTTTTTCCCCCCTCTCTGAGCCAACAACCACTGATTTGAGTAGGAGTCAAAACACAGAGTGAAGCAGCTTCGTTAGTTAGGAGCGTAACCAGGCAACATGTAGGCGAAGCTCAGTAGGAGGATTTCTCACTTCTTGCTAAGTCATGCACAGTTACAACGCCACCAAAAGACACAAAGACTCACTCTGTATATATACCACAAAAACTGCCTGTGAGAATTGTTGTAAAAAATTCCTCTGGACCACAGGTGGTAATTCAAAAACAAGTCAAGGTTGTCTTTCTGCTTGTCATTCACTCAGTTACACAACAACATCCAGAGGAGTGGAACGACAATTTACTCAGACAGGCTGAACGATGTGCACACGTTAACATTTGAACTGACAGTGTGGAGTAAATCAAAGGTGTCAGCTTCGTCACAGCAGATTCAAAATAACCATGACAAATAATTAAAATGAAGGTCAGAAGCAGTTGAACGGCGATAATTGCTTTTAAAA